TCTAATATTTATTTATAAAGTTATAATTTCATTTGACTATTCCCACTCAATATATTAAAGTGGTTAGCTATATATTAGCCACACATATCATAGTCACATCTTGGCCATAAAGATTCTGCAATTACGACACCAGTAAGTGTGCACGTCACAAATTATATGCAGGTAGCATCAGCTACATTTTAAAGTGTTTGACTTCCGAAGTGCACTTATAACCGCGAACAGTCCATATCAAGCTTCTACCAGCTTTGTTTTTGGAATTTTCAATTAAAATTATATCATGAAAATATATAGTATAAGAACCTTAAACATATGTCTATACTTGAAAGCAATATCATTTCTGGGCACCGACATGTCTCAAGTAGGCCTACGTATTGATATAAAATGCCGGTCTTCTGACCACTTGGATGAACATCTTTGGCGCCGGCGGAACCAATCAAAATAAGGCTCGAGGACATAATAGGGCATTTGCCTAACACATGTTTCGGTTGTAGGGGCCTAACGAAAATTATTAGTTTGTTCGTGATGATAGTAAATAGCAATTTAACAACTTTTGCTAGGATTTAACTTAAACATTTTTTTCGTTGTCCCCCGGCAAACCTTCGGAAAAGTCCAGTTCAGATCGATAGAAAATGACAGCTCCAATTTTTTTTCCAGACAATTAATGGGAAGGATATAATTATGAATTTGCACAATGCCTATTGATCATTCTGACATAACTGGTTCCAGATGACATAAGGCGAAACCCAGAGGAAGAGAAACTTGTTATTCTGCCCACTAGCTTTTTAGTTTTCAGAGCATTGACTAAAGATGAGGCAGGCCATATGGAGAGCGGAGAGATATGGACGGCAAGAGTGGAACGGAATGAAACATTTTCTGTGAAATTCTTTTTACCCGAGTACGCGTATCTCGGTAAATAAATGTTCTGCATATACGACTTTTGTCAGAAAAAAAAATCAATTATCTACGCACCCACTTTTTTTTGTTTTACTTTTGTCATATTGGGTGTATTCTTCGAGGAAATAATTCGTGTAAATGGTCAAATATCGCATTTTTAAAGCTTTCCTATGCAGTTTCCTTAAGTGGCAAGAGAATTGTACAAACACAAGGGCGTAGTTTAATCTGAGGGCTTTCATCGCGTGTAATAAAACCTCAATGTTACAGATCAAATGTGCACAGTACAGCGTTATGACGGGAACACTGCACGCCTTGCGCGTAGAAGCGATGAGGCACTAGGCGTGTGCGTTAGTGTCACCCGTATCGTTCCCGTGCTTCTTGATCTTGGACGCTTGGTTCCCACGGGGGTCCATTCCACTCTTAAAATCGAGGTGTTGAGGGACGATGAGGGTGCAGCGAGGTGAGTATAGAGCAGCGCCGGAATGACAGGGCGGGGGAAACGGGAGATCCCCCAGGAAACCCACTGACCAGCGGCATCGTCCGGCACGATTACCACGTTATAGAATCAGGGAGTGACTCCGCCGGTACTCGAACCCTGTTCGCCTAGGTGGGAGGCGAGTAGACTAACCACGGCACAGGGTAAACCAACTTTCGTCTTTTGCTCGTGCTTGCAACACTGGTTTACCCTTCTTCAATAGAACTGTCAAAAACAGCAATGAATGAAATTGGTTTTTTTTTTTTTTTCCAATGCTCCATCCTTTTACACGAATAAAATATATTGACTAGCTTGGATATAATCTAGTTGCATTTAAAACCTTGATTACAAAAATGATTTTATAACCTCTAAAGATATCCAAGTTTGTTTTGTTATTATTACTGAAAAAAAAAAGTATAATCCATTCACGGTTACTTCAGACTTTTATGAAGCCCTGCTAATGTTCTACTTCCAGGATATTCCTCCACCTCGTGCAAACTACTGCAGGATCACTTAATGAAGAAGTTGTAAAACTTAATTTATTAGTGCAAGCTGTGATGCAAGTAAAGAAATTGGTTTCTTTTAAATGGGATGACTATGGAACCAGCTGATGAATCCAGTGTTCACAACTGTCATTTCCAAGATGTAAATAAGGGCAATCACTGCCTACTTGGATAGTTATTAAAGTTGGGGTTATTACACATACGAGATATCGCAGTTTCGACACATTTATTACCACAAATTGTTGCTATGAATTATTAATATTTAACTAAATACTGATTCTTGTAAACATATTTCCTTTGAGCTAAAATTTCTTACGCTTTATAATTCACGTAGGTCTATATGAATGTTATACATTAAATGAAAAATTGTTTTGGACACATGCCTTTGCAGCAGAGCCCATGACGCAGGAAACTAGAATTATACATACGAACATACAGTCTCAGAAAGCGAACCAAGAATAGTTGCCCATATGTAGGCCTACGTGAAGAACACAGAGTACTCTTTAGAAGGAATTCAGGCAGTAAGCGACAAATTAACAAAACAAGAAAACTATGATCGGCACAACAAAAACACAACGAAACAGTAGTCTTCTTGCATCTAAAATATTCCTTCTGCAGAATTCTGTGCGTTCATGTACCTGTGGACAACAATTTCTGTTTGGTTTTGTATGCTTGTATGTCTAATACTAGCTTTCTGCAACATAAATTCTGCTACAACATTGTATATACAAAACAATTTATTATTTGTTTCATGTCACTACTGAAGACCTGGTGAATAGTCGAAAGTGTGGGTGATGTCACTATTGTAAACATTATCATCAGCTAGTCAAAATACTTACCAATATTTTAAAATTGAGTGTCTCTACTGCGAAAGTTTTCAAATGCCACTTCCAGGAATACATGACTTCTCTATAATTTTCTTTATTTAATTTTCTTTTCTGTATTATTGTCTGTAAATCCCATATTTTAATGCTTTATATATACATCTATGTAGTTACATTGCAACCTATTTATTGTATTTGACAACCTCCAATATGTATCCGTACTCAAGAAAGGAACAACTAAGTATAATTATTAAAAAAATGAAATACAGATGTGAAAAATATTGTCCCTCTTAGTCAGAAACTAGATCTATGATAAGCTGGTATAGAAATATGTTAATTGTTTCAATCATTTTTTTAAAATTCAAATTTGTAATTGTCTTTACACAAATATAATTCAAGAAATGAGTTTCCTCTCCTCCCTTCCTAAGGAGGCACTGCAGTGGGCATAGTGGTAGGATGCTTACCTTCAAACAATGTGATCCATCTTTGTTTCCCTGTCAGGTTACTCACAGATTTTCACATATAGGAGTTGTGCTTATTGATGCTGCTGGCTTGCATGTTCTATCGAGGTCTTCCTATTTTCCCTCACCCTTGCATTTCAGAGAGTAGACTACTCGCTGTTTCACGAAGCACACTTCATTCTAAATACCCATGTTCATCGTCAATATTAAAATAAGTTTATGTACAATTAGTTACTCTCAAAATTATAATTTAAAAAATCCTGAAGAAGGGCGAAATTGCGTTTAAAAACAATCACGTGAAGATTTTCAATTTTGCAGATGGTGTAGTTACAGGAAAAGATTGGCTTTATAAAAGTTCTCTTTATTTTAACTACCTTTGGAAAACGATAAAACCTACACATTTGTCATTTACACTAATGACTACAGCCTACCGCAAAATACATCACCATCTAAACAGACGAGTAAACTTTATTTATTTGCCATAACATTTTGTCGACAGCAGGTTCATTAGAGAATGGTACACCAAGAACACAACGAAGGGAATACAAGGAAGTAATTGGTCATTGCCTTTATTAATGAGTAACCCCAGAAGAAATTACCTGGAGTGAGTTCGTGAAACCATGGAAAATGTAAATCAGGAAGATTACATTCATTAGCTATTAAACAATATGAGAACTGATTTGGTTTTATATTCTTGTGTTGACAAACAGTTGATTTCTTGGTTGTCGCTGCAACGCTGCTGGCTTGGAGAGAAAAATATTGCAAGAGTGACGTTTTTATAAGGTGTACCTTTGTATTGGTTTACGAGGTGATTTGCCATGAATACCTGGAAAACAGTAATTTTATTACGAGGAAAGCTAAAGGTTAAGTTTGGAACAAGATTGGATCAGTTGTTCACGTTTTCGGTTACCTTCATTTGACAAACTTTCACAGCGTTAGCTACTAATAAATTACTTCTATAAACTCCAACACTGAAATAGCAAATCGGCATTTAGAAAAATACTTATCTGCAGTTTTATAAAAGAGCCTGAACCTCTAACGAGTCCGCAACTTACAGGCTAGACCTTAAATGCATGCCATATTAGTAATCGGAACCGTTCTTGCAAAAATTAAACACACTGCAATTATTCATTTACAATCTTACGCAGCTAACATATGGACTCGCATGGGTCGGTCCGTATGAATTTTCATTCATTAATATTAATATATTTCGTCACCGATTAAATAAAAAATAGACAGTAGTTGTAAGCGTGATTACATGCCAAATTCACGTTTCACAGACGTAAGAATAACACACATTCAGAGAAAATTGAGAACAACTAGTGAGTTCATATAGCACTCGCAAAGCTATTTCAAACTGACGTAAACTTTACGTAACTCAAATAACGCAACCTGACGCACTGACATTTTGCCACGCAATCATCCATAGCAAACAAATTGTGTGACTCCAATATGGCTGCTCACTTGTAACGCACTTGCAGACAACTTCAACAGCGTATAAAGACGTTCCACAACAGCTAAATGGATTAAATAAAAAGACTAAAGCGGTAGTTTGACCTCCGAATTTTATCTCGGTTGATAGCATTTGTGATATGCACCTAGCAATCGACAGGTTATAATTCTCTAGCAAGGGCGGGTGCTTTCTATAAAATTCTTGTAGTCTTTGGGTTGTTTCAGAAATTTACTTACTTCTTCCTGAACGTGCAGAGGAGCCAATAATTACATATAATATTTCAAAGAGGGGCCATTATTAATAATGAGATGAGGTATTCCCTAGCGTGCAGCAAGCTCCACTTTCACTTTTCTACCTGATATTCAGTAAGAAAATACCTTGTAAAGCATAGCCCGGCTAGCTCAGCCGATAGAGCATGAGACTCTTAATTTTAGGGTCGTGGGTTCGAGCCCTACGATGGGCGAAGACTTCAATTATGCACTAATTAGATTCGGAGCTAGACAGAATTACTTCCGGCTAGGACCTTGCTCTGTGGTTGGACTTGTAGTAATGTAATAATAGGCGAGGTAAGACGAAAATTTACCCTCCAGAAGACAAAAACATACTCCCACCAATATTTACAACTGTATTACAAAAGGGACACCAAGCAGACTCCGAGGCGTGATTTGCTAACGTGAATAATATAATAAATGTATTAAATAAAGTATTAAGTTAATGAAACACAAGTAGACCCTACTTCTAATGAGTTGAAAAAAATTAAAGCAGCTGGAAAATTCAACATTTTAAATGTTTATTTCTCTAGTCGTTTGAATTTGAGTTAAGGGGAATTAGTAGAACACTGAGATTCTTCACTTTTCAGGGTGTATGCAGCAAAGTATATAAAATCTTTGGGATAGTTTGGTAATAGTGAATGCGTTATTGACAGTTATTTTTTTTTTGCAACAGTAAATTAGTCTCTGCCCCGCATAAAATAATTGTAACATATGATCTGCTCCTCTTTTCTGTAGTCACAGACGTAGATCTCCGCAGGCGGGTCGTCTCGCAGTATCAATCAGACTGGTTCAGCTCTGGACCACGTGGTAGGCTCTTCTCGGCGTCTTCCCTACTGAGACTCGCGGGTCTCCGGTGCTGTAGCAGTCTTGGACGCCTAGTTTAAGTACTTACATAATTTTAAGCTATCCCAAAACCTGGAAGTCGCCCGATCAGTTATCTTCGCAGGCGTCGGGCGTCTTCTCAGAGTACACTCGTCTGATTTAAGATTAATCTGGTAAGTCAGCTCGACGCCCTGGCCCTAAAAGTCAAGATGGTCCCAAATGAAACAACACTAAACTTTAAAAAGTAAAATAAATAAATAAATATATTATTGTTCTAGACTGGTGCTGCGTGCTTTAAAATACGTTTCCAGACAATCAAAATAATCTCGGAACATTCTGAATTCCCATTGGGTCAGTATTCTTCGTAAACATTATTAATATACACTCATAATAATGCTGTATATTAACTCATAAAATTAATATGCTTACGTCTTAAATGCATTAGTTCATTACACAAGTATAACACAAAATAAAAATAATTGGCACGTGAATAAGTAACATATAAAATGACTGTGAAAATACTGATACGTTACAACTTCAGAGATAACAAAACTGAATCATTATGTTTTACAGTAAATTGAATTAATGTTAAATACAAAATAAATTATTTGTTTTATGAAAAGACAAAGTGTCAATTATTGTAGGTTTAACATAGTATATGATTATTAAATCTAGCTATCTGTAAAACAGTTCTCGTACAACATATATATCTAAGAAATTGCACAAAATTGTGCATGGATTGCAGCGTGTTCAACAAACATAAAAAATAAAATGAGAAAGGTGTACTAAGCTATATCTGGAATTTAAACAGTACTTTTATCGTGAAGGCTTCTGGAATACTAAGTTTAAACAGGGAAAACGTTATCTGAATGAAATCTATTTTAATATAAAGAATGTATGCAACATTAAAGGTGGTGGCCAAAATAATACGAGCACCCATACGGGAATGGGCAGCACTTCGATTATGCAGTAGAGCAACGCCACCTAGTACAGAACCGTGGCTACTAGAAATATCGCCTCCCACCAAGGCGAACCTAGTTCGATTCCCGGGTGGTTAGTTCCCGGATTTCCGCACGTTGGAATCATACCAGACATTGCCGCCGGTCAGCGGGTATTCTTGGGGATCTCCCGTTTCCCCCACCCTTTCATTCCGGTGCTGTTCCATACCTCACTTCACCCTTATCGGCTCTCAATGTACCGATGTTAAGAGCGACACAAACGTCGCCACAACTAACATAGAAGTGTGCCACCTGGTTGCCGTGAAGGTCTTCTAGTAACAGTTGTACTTGCTATACATGAACATTCTGCTAGCATTCAAACGCTGTTATACCTGAGCTCTCAGACGTCCCGAGAGGCGCATGATTACTGAATCGCGCATCTCTGGAGCCTTAGTCACGAAAACAGTCAGCTTTGTGAATGCTGCAAAGAGTTCCGTGATAATTTTTATAACACGCTACACGAAATAAGATAAGCTCAATTCGAAAGAGTGTAAAGTGTGCAAAAGTCAAAGCTCATCGACAGGGATAGAAGGGTGTTGAAACGGACGTTGGCCTGAAATTACAAGACGGCGGTGCACCATCTAAACGCTGTTCACGATAAAGTGAGCACTTTCGAAATCAACCTTAGAAAAAAGTCACTGTTACTACCTGCATATATTTTAACGGCCGCCATGAGTGACATGCGCCGAGTTAAGTTGGTAACGATGGATGGGAAAGTAGTTCCGTATCTTTACGTCGAATAAAAAGTGTTAGGTAACTATTTATGCTAACTTAAATCATCTCTTTCGCTTTCTGGTTTTTTTTTTTTGCGAATGGGAATGTAAAAATAGCAGATTTTTTAAATATTTACTTTTCTAATAATTTCACAATTTCACTTGACCGGCACATGAATAAAGTGATGACGCCAATGACAATTTTATTCTTACATAAGGTGGAAGAATATACAACGTGCATACAAGTAGATCTTAAGTAGGGCTTTCAAAAGTGCTCATTTGATCGTGAAACCCTATGTGACCGTGTGTCAACAAGTAACTGCATACTGTGAACATTCATGCAGAGTGACTATTTCCAAAGCCTCCATTGTGACACCGCATGAAGATTTGCAACGGGTGATGGTAGTGCCGAGAGTACAGAGAATGAACATAACAGCAATAGGTACATGTCGTCTATTCTGGTGGATCTCCATTTACATTTCTTTCCAAAAAATGCCCTCAGAAGCCTGTCATGTTGACCAACCTTCTCCCTACTGTTAAGCATGTAAGGGGCTCTGTGTTGGTGTAAGGTGCGGAATCTTGGCGTAGTTTGGTACAATGTATAGTAACCCTGCATGACAATATCGTAAAACTGCTATGTATCAACTTCCTGGGCTCCAAAATGTGTTTCCCATTAAACGGTCTTTTTTCTCCAGTACGTTAACACCACCTCTCACATTGCTCACTGTGTTAAAGCATGGTTCGATGAGCAAGTAAATGAAATATTATCCCCTTAATCCCCTTGCCATAAGAGATAAAAACTTTTCAAATGTTATTTGGAGGCCATATTGCGTTCTAGGTTTCCACATTCAGATGTGCTTTCTCGACTAGAGACCGCTCTACCCGAGGAATACATGCTTGTTTCCTTAAACGCCGTGAATGTCTATTTGTCGATCCCACGTTGGACACAAGCACCGTCAAGGATAGGAAAAACCTCTAATAATAAATTGTTATTGTTGTGTCATAGATATTCTAATTATTTTGATCACCATCTGTATTTTTATGGTAATTACTCTTTCCAAGAATGTAATTGTCAAGGCAAAATTAATTCAATGTAAAGTGAATATACTAAGTTGAATTTATTAAATTGTCGCAGAAAAAAATTAAGCACCGCAAAAGAAAATCATTTCGAAAAACTTAAACGAATTTTTAATTCAATGAAAAGTAGTTGATGGAATTTGTTCAGATTTACAATACTAATGTTTTTGCCATTCTCTGAATAAATTCTGCAACATTCACATGATATTTCTTCTGTAAGCAAAAGATTATGTCTAGGGCAGAAATAGTCTTATACTGTTTTAAACTTGAAAAGGATAATTTAAGTTACAATGTACTACCAAGGTAAGATGACGGAAGTTTCTTCGTAATTATGGATGCATAGTTTTCACCGCGAAGGTTATGACAAGTTTTATGTTCCTCTTGGGAATAGGTATTTCATTAGGTGAACAGGCGTAAAAATGACAACCAGCATAATGCAATAAGAATATGTTGTGCGAATATAAAATAACTACGTACGCTCAAATGTTAAGGAATGAACTCATTTTATCACAAGAATTTAGAACCGCGCAAAATGATATTTTATAAAGAGGATCCGAACATGCAAATGCATATGTGGCAAGGTTGATACTGTGCTGCTACCTTTTTTTTCCACAATAATATCAGCTTTGTACTACAGCTCCAAGTCAAGTATAGCATCCTGAGTGGTTGAGATTGTTAGTGACACCCTCATCTAGCAACGCGTCTGAATTTCTTACCTCGAAGTCGGTAGAATAATAGCTATTTCGGACCTTGTAATCAGAAGTTTCCTTCATCTTCAGACTTCTCAGCATAATCGTGCGGCATATAATTTTTCTTAGTTATGTCGTTATTGCAGCGCCTTGCAGAACGCCATGTGGCAATTCCACGTGGTGGTAGATTCCACACAAGCTTTCGCAAGGTCCGCCGTAGCAGCTGCTATACCAGCAACTAAGGGGCAATCACCATGACGTGTTGCCTTGTATGGCCGTATTTCGTACTATTTTTACTAACAGGCCTTGTCCTATTTTCTATCGCAAGTTTCCTAAAAACTTTCGTACTTATCCAGTAACATTACAGTTTAATATTATAGGGCGCTCCGCTCCCATTGACCAGTGCTTGAAAGCATTTAATGATGAAGCCAGAAATGATGTCTCATATTGGGCCATAATTCCATGAGGTATGAATTTCATTTCGATTCTTTTAAACAAAATACACACATGCTAGCGTAGTGACAAAGTTTTAGCATGTGTGGCAAAATCTTATAATACAGGCGTGAGTTCATATAATGCGTCTTTTATTATACACCCTATAGGCCTATAGTTAAGAAAATATTAATTTATATGAAAACGACACGAATCACTCAAATGTCTGAAGAAATATTTAGTTGACCTCACATTATTATTTCGATTGGTTGAAAACATAAGCGAATTAAACAATTCTAACTGCCAATAGCCACGAAATAGTATTTAGGTGCGTGTACTTTTTTAAGTAAACGAGCGCGGCGACCAGTTCTACCCTGAAACATTATACTCATCTGTGCATCCACCGAATGGATCTGATGCTGGGACGTCAACTACTATCTTGTAATAGGAATATTTTATG